TGCCACCAAACTCTTAAAATTAGAAAAGAGAACCTTAAATGTATTAATAAAACACCCAAATTAGGTTACAGACATATCGATTAGTCTATGAACCTGTATTCTTTTATTACATTGTCTGACTGTGACGGTAATGAGGTGACGGTTTAGGCCTAGCGGCTAATTTAGACGTCTGAGTCTACAGGCTATCAGGCTATCAGCCAGCCGGGTCGTTGACCTGTCTGGGCCACGTGGTTCAAGGATCTTTTTTATTTATATATCTAGGCTTTCTCTAGAATATTCTGTGATGATTATTATTTTTAGTAAGTGTGAGAGAGTCGCTGTCATTATTGATGTTTTATGAAAATCGTCTACATATTTTAACTGACTTCTGTCTTCGGATGTTTGTGCGAGTCTAGCTTGCGATTAGCTGTCTCGATTTGATGCGGTGTAAAAAAAGTTTGTTACACCTTATTAGGAGAAAGTTTTAGTATATTAATTTTTGACTATGTATAGTCACCATCATCAACAGCCTATAAATGCCCACTACTGAGCTAAGCCTCTTCCCACACGGTTTGAGCATTAATCACCACGCTTGCTCAATGCGGGTTGGCGATTACAAACTTATAATTATTATTGTAATAACTACCGTGAGACATATTAAATTAACTAAAAATCGCGAGTTACTCACGTGAATATATTGAGAAAAGCGAGGGGTTCTTCCTCGTGAGCAGTATATTCACGTGAATAACCCGCGATTTTTAATTAATAATTATATTTAATCGAAATAAGCGTAAGCCGGTTTATTACTATACTTTATTTTAAAGGGGGAAAATCATCGAATGTCTTCTTCCGCCTATCATCAGTGTCAGACTCTTACCGACTAAAAACCACCCCGTTCCTACTCCTGCACTTCGAGCCGGAGCCCCGGGAACCTTTTACGTTCTCCGCGGCTCTATATCGGCGTACTATAAAGTTGGGATAAATATAAACTTATAGTACCTACAGGTACCTACCTACTAAACTAACTACGATGTGAATTATTATCTTTGCCAATTATTAATTCTATCAATTGTGATGTCTTTCGCCTTGTTTTTTAAGTGGTCACATGTGCGACTGCTAAGCGAGGGTCCTCAGATTAGAATACGTAAAGTAATGTTGAGGATTATTAGATTGTTTGAAAATTTCTCATGACGTATGGAGTTCACAATATACCTAACTGGCAAAATCTAATCCCTTATCACATGGTACTTATAACATAACAGATAAGAAGCTGACTTCACACACACACACACACACATACAAACACCATAATAATATACTTCTTAAAAAGCTGACTGCTTCGATGGCCGAGTGGTCGCAAGTACAACTGCCGGGCAAGGAGTCTCGGGTTCGATTCCCAGGTCGGGCAAAGTATTACTGGGTTTAAAAAAAATCACAGTAGTAGCACGGGGTCTGGAAATGTGACCGGTATATGGCAATAAGCTCACCCCCTATTACATGGGACTCATAATATAAATAGTGAAAAGTGGGTGTTACTTCTGTGTGCACCTCTGCCTACACCTTCGGGGATAAAAGACGTGAAGTTAAGTTTGTTATGTTCTTAAAAAGCAGGTACTCTCCCAAAACAAAACCATCCTAGTCCATTTAATTTTCTTTTCTCATTTTATTACCTACTTTTGTTTTTTTTTTAAGTTTTATACAATACAATTGCATAAGGAGGACTTAATGCTAACAGCATTCTCTGCCAGTCATCCTTTGGGTAGTGCAGAAATGTATGTGGTAGGTGGTAAGCTGCAAAGATGTTAGTGGTAATTATCAAAATTAATAAGGAGCATCAAAGCACGCATAAAATACGTATATAATAATATATATAATCATACATATATATATAGATAGATATAAATAACATCATACATAATATAATCTATCTATGAGCCGTATATGAATTTATCCTATATTAAAACAAGATGAAAACTAATAAAAGATGTTATGAAACTGCCAGCTTTCTGCTAATGTACTCACGCGCCCTCCGCTTGAAACTCAAACGACTGGTTGCGGTTCTGACATTCGTTGGAAGCGTGTTCCAGAGAGAAATGACTTGTATGAAGAAATAATTTTTTATCACAGTTCACTACACAGCGGCGACATTCACTTCATTATTGAGCGACATAATATAGTGAGACTTTGTCACATACTCCAAAATATAAGCTTACAGCTTAGTTTGGAAAGCAGTATCAGTATCGTTCGTAATTCACACCGCATATGTGCAATGTGATATTGTTTAATTTTGAGACAATTAACAACTTTTATTTATTTTTATTTAGTACCTCTGCCTACCTCTTCGGTGCCTAAATGTATGTCATTATGTTACAAATGTATTATGCTATTACTTAGTGGGATAAAAACAGGGAAAGTTGAAAGAAAACAACGTATTTGTACATTAATTAAATTTATTACACGTGACTTAAATTAATTTATTCGTTATTGCTTCATTATTATATTAATTATTGTACTTAGCTATACAGGAGGAGCCATGAGCACTTACATACACATAATAATATATCTCCTGATTTTATTGTTATTATTATATACATAACACTATTACATATTATAACAGTTTGAATTAAATATAACAATAATAATAAGAAATAACTGAGAATAATAACACGATATTTTAGATAAATTTTACCAATATCAATCAATACATAGTATAAAACAAAGTCGCTTTCGCTGTATGTCCGTATGTATGCTTAGATCTTTAAAACTACGCAACGGATTTTGATGCGGTTTTTTTTAATAGATAGAGTGATTCTTAAGGAAGGTTTGTATGTATATACATATTGCACCCGTGCGAAGCCGGGGCGGGTCGATAGTAATTTATAAATGAATTTATGGATAAATATAACATAATTCGTATAATAATTTATAATATTGTGCTCACAGCTAACCTCCTTACAGTGATTCGCAGATTGCAAGTGATATGAGAATTTCTAGATTTAATTTTAGAAAAAAAAAATCCATTACATTTTTCACAGGAAAGATAGATTTTTGGAAAATAGTTCGTCTATATTAATTTTTATTATTTCTTTGTGAGATCATACTAAGTTTTACATTTTGTAAGCATTTTTAAATGATAATCTCTGATAATAGTAAATTATTGAAATTGTTTTATTAATAATTTCAACTTTTATTATTTTCAGAGCTGATTTTGTATATTGATAACTTTACACTGATAAAATATTGCTTTAAAACATTGAGATATTATTTCATGAATATTTAAAATCGCTAGTGTAACCTGATTTGTGTGGCTGTCTAGTTTTCTTGTTTTAATAACATATGTTTTAAGGTCAAAACTGATTCTCCAATGATAAAAAGATGTACTTGAATAATGTAGATATTGTTTTACCCCTACGAGAACACATCAAGCAGTTATTAATGTTGATATTAATTTTTACTTTACCACAAATACTTGACCAGGTTCGAAATTACCATTAAAATTCTCACTTAAAAACTAATGTCTTATTTATTAATAACTATTTAATATTATTACACACACAAGTCAACAAGAAGGGTAATAGAAATTACTTTATTAGCATTAAAATATCTATTATTCCAATAACAATATCACATACATAATAACTAGACAATAATTGTTTTATTATAATAATTATAGTAATATAACAATCAACAATTACATTCGATGATACAATGCTGTAATTATTATCATTACTTATAATTAATTCGTATAATATTATACTTATGTGCGTAATGATTGAATAATGATCACGATAGCGCGCGTAACTTATTATAATAATTATTATTTGAAGATACTCTATTATTATTATTAAACATAGAAATTAATAACGACATTAAAATTTGTCCACGCTTAATAGTTATTAGGAAATATACAGATTCACATTCTAACATGTATAGTATATAGATAGGATAGATAGAGTTATATATATTTCTGCTACATACAGTATATAAAGATAGCTTGATAAAGTGACTTTAATAATTCTAAATTCTATTATTATTATTATTATTATATATTATATTATCATGTGCCATACACACTAAACACTGGTCGATATATAAAAAGCTGTTTACTATGACGCATAGCTTTAAGAGAGTTGCTTAAAAGTAGTTAACAATAAAAATATTGCTATGAAATAGTATCTATATTCAACAAATAATATTCATTTATTTCGCTTTATACGTATCTCTAAAAAGGGTAAAACTATCGTAACAAAAAAGTTGGACTACAAATTTGTAAAGGTTTTATCAAAAATGTGTTAGTTTGAACAGTGACGCCAGGATTACCATTTTTTTAAATTTCAGTCCCGAAATATTTTTTTTTAATATACTCAACATTATTATTATTTATTTCATTTTAATAATATGCTTTTACTAAGAACAACAATTCTTCAGTCAGTATATAATTTAGTTATAAATATTTTATGATTTATATATTTAAACACAGGTTGTTGTTTTTATATACCTTTCTTTCATAAATATTTATTTGAAGCAACACGTATAATCTAAACGACTTTGCTGAAGATAACAATAATAATAATAATTCTTTGTGCCTAAACTGTAAATATTACGTGTTATAATTATTTCTTTCCTATCATAACGCCACTATACAAAACGAACATCATATACAATTCGAAAATTGGACAAAAACAACAAAAATTCATAGATGTATTGTTTTGGACAATCCTTAAGCAATCACTAGAAGATATTACTTAAAGTTATCAAAGCATTTTGCTGCGGACACTGGATCTGAGAAAACTTTAAGATTATTTCTTTTTATAATTTTAACATTATAATAACATTTTAGTTTTAATTTTTTTTTTGGATTATTTCAGAATTTTGTCAACATCGAGAGTTTACTATAGAAGATTACGTTTCACTCGATTACGCAAATTTTGACAAAATTTTAAGTCAAAAATGAAATTAAATACATCAAAAAATTTTATCAAATGCAAATAAATGTGAAATTATCTGTTTGTAAACGCACACACACAAACAAACACACGCGCAATCGACACTGGAGAAAATCATTTTATGAGACAAAGTTTAATTAGAAAATATGTGAATCATTGAACACAAGAACACAAATTAAAAATGGTACGAAAGGCGAAACCATTTTCAAGCAAAATGCACGCAATCGAGCAAAACTTAAGACTTATTTTAGCATAAATACTAATCCTGTCTGCTCGCTAAAGCAAATGATAAGTGGACGTAACGATACACATCATCGTGATGAAAAATCTTCTACAAAAAAAAATAACTACAACGAAAAACAAAGTGTATTGTCTTTGTCCCTGTATGTCATGAGTCAATGAAGTGGACACGGTTTGGAAGGGCCAAGGGTTGATCTTGTTATAGGAGAAAAAATAACACAACATGTTGTTATAGGAGAATATACAACAGAAAATGTTGAAGGAACATCAGTAGGATCAGATTAAATAGACGTTGAATCAAATATATTCTAGTTAGATGCTGTAGAACTAGCATTCCTAATAAATACTTCATCTATAGAAGACACATTGGAATTGGATGTTAATATAAAAAGGGAAGAAGTTTCTGATAAAGATAGTAATACAGTAAAAGAAGCTTCAGATGATAATTAGAAAATAATAAAAGTTAATATCGAACCAGTTACCAATCAGAATGGTGATAAAGTGACCGACAGTGAAACAGTTAGTGTCACTACTGCTATTGATAGCTTTCACACTAAAATTAATTATAACTACAGTTCACATGGCGACAGATAATGTTTTTATAGAACTGACTCTAGTATTTTTCCAAAAAGGTTCAATTTAGATTATAAAACTAGAATTGGAGACATAAGGAGATATTTCTTTAGGGCAGTAACGTTATAACTGCAGAAGACAAACGGTTAGATGATCGAGTTAATTTCGAAAATTATGTATTTTTTAAATTGCTGAGAGTTTTCATTCTCATTCAGTTTTATTCCTAACCTGACTTCTATTTCGCTTTTTCTGCTTCCTTATAAAATTAATTAAACCTTCACCTATGACCAGACTACTTATCTTCCAGTAGAAAAAATATTTGATGGTAATCATTCCTTAATATATCCTCATCTCTTATTCTAGCCGTTATATCTGTAAACTCCTTACCAACATCGCTATCCATACAAGAGTCAGTCCTATCAAAAACAATTCACAATACTAAGCCAATCCTAAGATAAGTGACGAATTCAATAAATACACGTTAATCTTCCTAACCTATAATTACATTAATATTGTCTAACATTACATTCGTCCACACAACTATGACCACCTAGCGAGAGATTATATACAGTTATAAAAAAAATAACTAACTATAGCGTAGTGATTCGTTATCCGATATGTTAGGCAGTATGTATCTAGGCCACTTATATGTCCGTAGAATGTTTCTCACGTAAACACATACAATTATGTAGAAGAAGTAGACTCACTTATATCATCAAAGACTTGTTGTATGACCACGTCATAGTACTGCCATTCATAATTTGGATAGCAAAATCGTAGTTCAGGTTATTTTTTATGTGTTTTTGGATGTTTCAATTTTAGTAAATGCATTTTTGAATACACAATATGAATTTACGTGAGAAACTATAGAAGCAATGAAAGTGATAGTAATAAGACCTTAAGTTTAGCTTGGATATAGATTCCTTGTACTCGAAACATCGATAGTGCAACATCGAAATGTATACGATGAGTGCTAATGTGGTTCACGCGATGATTTGATGATGGAGCCAATGGCCATTGCTAACACACAGTATATTAACTCGTCGAGTACCGGTTTTGTAGACACAATTATAGAACAATAGGTTGCGGTCACCGGTGACCGCTTGGTGTTTGACAGTTTAATGAAGCAATACCAGGCAAAACCACCTCTAAAACATGCATTATAATTCCATTTTAGTTTTTTCTATGTATGGTAACCTTGCTTCTAAACCTGATGATGATTTGAGGTCATAAAATAAGTAAATTAAACCGTACTTTCAAATATTAGAAAATAAATTTTGGGACGATAACGACATTTCAATATCAGACATGGCTCATTTTCCCCAAACTCATTATAAAACTTCCATCGCATGAACCAACATAGATAGAATATAATATAACAATAATATATTAGATATAAACTTTAGTCTGAGGTAACACAAATCCAAGGAACTTAAGTTATACGCACACGAAGATATAGACATAAATGATACTCGAGCGAAGCATCGCATAAGTACTATACTTACAACTAACAATAAATACATACATTGTAAAAATCCAAGACGATAAATTGACAGCATTTTCAATAACACTAATCGTATAATTATGATGTACAATAGTAATTGAGACAAAAGCCTTATATCTAAAGGCAGAAGACCACATCGAACGTGCTTGGGTGAATGAACTTGCTGATAGAGTAACAATATATATTTAGACTAAGGAATCGATAAAGCTCTTCATCTTCTAACAACTTGTTGACAATCTGTCGATTTGACTAGAGGATGAATCATGTAGTTATGTCTCCAACCCTTGAGATATTGATAGAGTAGTTCTAGAATTTAATGTCAGAAAACCATTAGCTACAGATGGGACAGTAAACACAAAATTAATAAATAACAATAACAGTGAAGTTGCCTTAACCAGTGATATAAAAAACAACAGGAAGACCTTGATATAAACGCAAATTCATTCACCGTAGCATCACACAACTAGCAGCCATAAAAAGTGATAGAATATAATATCAAAATGATTAATATTAATACAACAATTTTACGTATAGAGATTTGTGATAGGTATACTAATCTAGACAGAATAGATGGGAAGATCTCTGCGTTAGTTGTGATGTAAGGGAATCATTGTTTGGTCCTATTAATAGTCTGCTACCAAGTGAGAACCCAATTGCATCAGAGGAAATTCTAGCTTAGACATAAGCCACACTTACGCCACAGGACGAAGAACGCGGACACGGAAATTATCACATGTACTAGAGACCTTATACAATAACTATTTAAATTCTTCAATATTAATGTTAAATACGATGCAACGGGCCATGAAATGAAGAATTTTAAAACAATCTACTTTCTAATGTCTCTAAATAAAACTATCGGCTATTCAACAAATTATCCCATATCACATCTTGACGACATTATTGCTTTATGGATCCGTTTGTTAAGTCTATTGTTGATCACTTTGAAGCGAACAGAGGCTGTTCAATCATTGTTAACAATTAGAAAACAAATACTATTCGTGATTGCGTCATTAACGTGTTTCAGTAAAATCTATACTTTCTTTTGTCCTTGATAAATACTTTGACAATATTTTCCTCTTGATACATCTTTAAATCATTAATCTTACTGAAACACGTCACATTACAGCAAGTTAATGTGTGCATCATAAAAACTGATTCGATTCTTATTTCCAACGCAACAATAACGGGTATAGAAATGTGATTTCCAAAATGTTCATTCAACTTTGAATTTCACATTCCCTTATCACATATTGGACCCCAGTGTATTTCAACAGCAACATGTAAAAACTAAATAATATTAAAAAATATTTTTGTTTCTCTCTGTTCTAGTTATATGTCGTCAGACGTCTTGAGGTTGGTACTAAAATCTGGCTCTAAAAGTACTATTATTATCTTCAAACTAGGTCCCTCGTTAAGTAGGCAAGCAGCCAACCGCCAAAGATCTCTAAATTGTCTAACTACCACCACATCTACATCTCATACAAGCGATAATATCTCTCTTACACCAATATCTTCTTACTCAAATACAAGTATTGATTATTCTACAAATTGTCTTCTATCAAAATCGTGTCTTCGATCCCCAACCTCAAGACGTCCGCCAACCAACAGTGGGGTTTCACAAAACAATCTTACACTAAGGATAAACAAAAATCCTTTTCAAGGATAACAAGCAATAACAAATCTGTCTTTTATCAGAGGTAACGTCATCTAAAACTAGCTGCTATTCGATTTTGTGCTTAATTCATTGTGCTTGTAACGCACATTTTTGAACTGTGTTTGTAAATATTTGACTCGAGTGCGGATATATGGAGACTAGGTACCGTATGGCGTACATATTTGAATAATTTCATTAGCATACATTACGTGAACATTATTACAATGACTTAGAACGAGACTGTGGACTGCTCTAACATATATTCTGTAAATATGATTTATTTAAATATTTTGTAGAAATATCCGCACTAGAGTTATATTATTTGGTATTTTCACACTTATCATGAGAACAACTAAAGATGTATCAAATTGATTTCCCTCGGGTGTGTTTCAATATTACTATAGAGCAATAACATTAATGAAAATGTGTTGGAATTTTTCGCATTACAAATTCATATTCATGTGTAAATAGATATAGAAGTATACATTATGATAATTGGTTATATACGTGCAGATGACTGCAAATATTTGTGGTCAAAGTAATTCCACGGAACATCACACGACTTTTATTTAAACATCAATTTGATACATCGATATAATTCACTATAATAATAACGATAGCACACGAATCCACGGTCTCTTACATATACCAGTTTCAAGCTAAATATCTTAAATCTATAAATAAAAGCGACAAGACAGACATTCAGACAAATCTAAACAAACCCGAGAGCTAACTTGAACACATACATCGCCTTCTCTCAGCTTTGATGTCCATTGAGTAGTCACAGACAATCTCTCACAAATAGTTTCATTATAGGGAAGTAATGTATTGAAGACAGATGACTATGAACTGGATTGGAAGACTTGAGCAATCAAGATGGAATACATACGAAGAAGCTGAATATAATTAGTAAAGTAATCTTCTTCGCGAATGGTATCGTGTTAGAAATATATCGAAGACATTGAATCATGAATTATTTACGAGAGGAATGAGATAGAATAAACAGACGTGGTGAAATGTATTTGTAAGGAGCTGCATCATTGTCACGTTATCTTGCTTCGAGTTCATATCTCGCTTTATCTTTCGATCACTCAGTACTCCGTCGTTATCTGCGCTTCATCCTATAACATCTATGTACACGTACAGTTCTACAAACAAAACTCAGTACTTAAGTAACTGTATTACATTCGTTGTCCGCAATTATTGCCATTATTGTTCTGACTTACACCTGACTAGTTACATCATTGGTACACGTATTAACTCTATCGGTTTTACTAGTTTTAACTATCTTCTGTTCGATTATTGCTAGCTTCACAATACATTTTTGTCACTTATCCGACATCTAGTATGAAATGGTTACCTTGAATTTGAATGTCTTCGAGATATTTCGTGAGTGAGTGAGTTTAGTAGATGAATGCGGGGTGCAGCGGCGGCGGTGGTACCCTGGGCTGCTTGTCCAGGGGAGCACAGCACGAGGGCTCGCAGCACGGGGTGCTGTACGGAGCTGGTACCAGGGCGTACTGAGCTGGGGGCCCGTAGATCGCTGGCGTGGCTGGAGCAGATAATAGTGATCATGAACTTTTATTGAATCTTTTTTAATGTGGTACAAATACTCTACAATATCATTCAAAGATAAATCAAAAACTAGAAAATGTTATATTTTGATCTGTACTGGAATCGAATCAAAAATCTAATCATTGACAGTCATCCTTGGATTCACGACACAATCTTGCCAATACAATAAGTCAAACTCGCAATCAAGATTACGTTCAGTCGACCAATTCTGTAGACCATAACTCATACTTACTGTCAAATGGCAGGGGATAGACGGCATATGGCGGTGGGGGCAGTTCGCAGGGGGCGCAGGGCTGCAGTGGTGCCAGGGGAGGGGCACACAGGAGCTGGTAGCACAGCGGGGCCTGCAGAGGAGCTGCTTCTGTGCCCAGCACCGGGAGCTGGCTCATCTGTAATTAGAGTACAAGTACATAGATAATGATGATCAAAGAAAAGTCACATTTTAGGCAATTTCAGGAACAAGTCAAACTTTTGAGACTAAATTGTTGGAAGATAAAAAAAAGAAGAACCAATTGCTTTATTGACCAAAATAAAAGTAGAAAAATTAAAGGAATATTCACGGATTGTACCTGAATGGTACCTTTATTGTGACGTACTGTAGTATTCCTCCTTTGGAATTAAATATGTCCTACTATTTAGTCATTCATTTTCCTTACCTGCGATGATAGATCATCACCCACAAGGTGCATTAACACTGGATATGGAATTTCAAAAATAGAACACACATCAATATTAAAATTTTACTCACAGTATAATTGAACTCAAGCGTCCTAAAACCCAGTAAATACGGACCATTCAACTAACTCCATGAACCAAATAATTCCATAACCATTCTCAAACCGACACCCCTTTCACTCAATTTCAATAATTGGGCCATCAACGTCATTTTTCCTTTTGAAAGGAATATCGTTCGTTCATGCTAATTATCTTTCTAAGTAATTAATATTCACCTGTTTTCTGACAGCCTGTGCCACTCGGAGTCGTCCCAGCGGCGAGAACATCACTCCACCACTCTGGAATGAGACATGGGATTATAACGTCATCTCTTAAGAAATGTTATTAATGACTCCTTCGGGAGACGGGATTATGTCATATCTTATGACATGTAGAAGAGTGTGATGGATTAAGCATTTTTAATCTTATGTTATTACTGTGGCTGTTTTAGTGTCACGAGGATTAAGGCTTTTTGGTGTTGTTTTTTCTAAACGAGAATAAAGTTCTAATTTTGCTCGAACACAATCCGAAAATAGTACAAAGGACATAATTAGAACCATCAATGGCTGTCTTTGTTACCCATCATTCATTTATACCGTCAAAGTAACCTTTAGATTTTCCCTGTAACAAGCAAACAAACACAGACAAAAGGATTCCGAAATGTTTTGTTAAAATCCCGAAAAGGTCTGAGGGGTCTGGATCAGAACCCATTATTGAAATAACAAGGTTTGCAAGACCATGATTAGATGGTTCGTGACATACTGCCCTAGAAGGATGACAAAACTCTACCCTTTTAAGATGAACGACCGTGCAGTTCCGGATAAACGCCATCCATAAATAAATAGGGTCCGCCTAAAATTAGGGCCCTCCCAAATGTTTGGGGTTTGAGGTCCCACGGACGTTTTGCAAGTATAATTTGTTACAAAAACATTGTCTACAAGACCTTTCCTGAACTATGGCCGGTAATTGGCATTATCTCAGAAACAGATTAAGGCGTTGCTCATGCTAATCGGAGTAAGACTGAACAAAGAAAGTTGTGCTTAGTTCTAAAGTTCAGTCATTAAAAGGTCATGAGTTCATTTAATTTCGGAGCGAAGTGTTTTAATGGCAATTATACAGATATCATCAATTTATTGGTAGATGGTATCATTCGTTGACAATAAATAAATAACCTTAATTCACAACCTGTTCATGTTCATTTTATTCCTGTTGTAATAAGGTAAATATTATAATCTTAAGTTAAATAATATAAGTAGCGCCATCTAGTGTTAAGTTGGCAAGTTTCTCATAGACGTCGATATATCATCTGTATTCTTCCCTTTTGTCGTCTGCATGGCGCCCATCATGTGCTTTCTGTGTGATTTATAATAAAACTACGAAATGTAACAAGCTATTATCTATTATTCAACCACATCCACCACTTCAACATGGTAGCAGTCCGTGGTTAAGTGGTTTCACGAAAAAGTCAATAAATATGAAGTGCAATTATGAATTCAAATTACGATTGAGGTTATCCGGTCACAACGAAAAAGTTGGTTTTGAAAACGTCTGAATCTACAAGAATATACGTAAATATGGCACAACAAGCTAAAATAGAAGACATCATGATACCTATTTTTGATGGGGCAAACTATTCGAGTTGGAAATTAAGGTTGGTTACTTTGTTGGAATACAAAGAATGCAACGAGGCCGCCATAGGCATAATGCCGGTGAAATATAAAAATACAGAAGCGGAATGGAAGAAGATGGATTTAAAGGCAAGGACTATTATTATGAGTACTATTTCGGACAAACAATTAGAATATATCACTGAGTGCAAGACAGCTTTTGACATGTTACAAAAGTTCGACAAAATGTATCTTACTCAATCAACATCTCTTCAAATTATATGTCGAGGAAAAGTGGAAGCGATCAAATTAAATAATTACGACACAGTAGAGGATTTCTTCGTTGATTTTGAAAAATCCATAAACGAATTCAAAACAGCCGGAGGTAAAATTGATGAACCTGAAAAGTTAAGATACCTGCTCAGAGCCCTACCACCAAGTTATAGTTATATAGGAGATTTTCTGGACGTGATTCCTGAAGAACAAAGGACTGTGGACTATGTACATTCAAAAATAAAGGAGAAAAATATGACTATGTGCGATGACAAGAAAAATAATGTGAGTACATATACAACCAGCACCACAAGAGCTCAATGTTTTGTCTGTGGTAAGACTGGTCATCTCAAGAAGAATTGTTGGCACGCTCAGAGAAATAATCAAGGACAAAAAAGTTCTCAAGGAAGTTTCCAGTCGTCTAGTCGGGGTCAGCGAGGACATCAGAGAGGATCCTACAGAGGTCGCAGCCGAGGCAGAGGTCAAGGCCACTCATCTAGCAATCATCCTAAAGGTGAATCTTCGAGCAACGGTCCCTCCCAGTCATGGACAGCTCACGTATGTAAACCAGAAGTAAACCAGGTATCCGGATGTAATAAAAAGGTAACATTTAATAATAATAGTAATGTAGTTAATTGGCTTTTAGATAGTGGGTGCACTGACCATCTTATAAATGATTATTCATATTTTTATGACAGTGTAGATTTGAAAGATTTTGTTGATGTAAAATTACCAGATGGAAAAACCTTGAAAGCAACCAAAGTTGGTACTGTAAAAATGTATTTCAAAAACTATTATAGTGTGAAGTATGTCGATTTAGAAAATGTCTATTATGTCGAAGGAATAAAACAAAATTTATTAAGTTTTTCAAAGGTAACTAATAGTTGTACAATAGTAGCTAAAAATGAAAGTGCTAAAATATATAATGAGTCTAGAGAGTTGATAGTTGTTGCTGATAAAATTAATAATTTGTATTGCTTAAAAGGTTATGTCTTAAAAAATGAAGTATGCACAAATTCTGTAAAGTTAACGCAGAAAGAAAAATGGCATAGGGCACTTGGTCATGTGAATTTTCAATACTTAAATAAGATAATAAATAATAAATTAGTAGATGGTTTGCCAGATAAAATTGAAAGCACAGAAATGAAATGTTCAAATTGTATTCAGAGTAAAATGACTAATGTACCTTTTGAAAATAATAGAACAAAAACTACTGAGATTTTAGAACTTATTCATACTGATTTGAATGGGCCACATAACACAACTGGTTATGGTGGAGAAAAATATTTTTTAACCTTTATTGATGATTATAGTAAGTGTACCAGGATATTTTGTATTAAAAGTAAAGCTGAAACTGCAAAGTGTTTTATAGAGTTTATAAATTTAGTAGAAAATAAATTTAATAAAAGAGTCAAGAAGATTCAGTGTGACAATGGTAGAGAGTATTTAAATAAGGATATTTATAATTTTATAAGGTATAAGGGCATAGAGTTGTTACCATGTCCACCTTATGTTCATGAGTTAAACGGAGTAGCGGAGAGGTATAATAGGTCTGCTATGGATATAGGTAGATGTTTAATGAGAGAAGCTAAAATACATAGGAGGTACTGGCCTGAAGTAATAAAAACAGCAGCTTATTTAAAGAATCGTACTATTGCAAATACAGTTGAAAATAAAACTCCTTATGAGATATTTTTTGGGGTCAAACCAAATGTAGAGCATTTAAAAATTTATGGAAGTAGAGTCTATGTTAGAGTTCCTGAAGTGTTAAGAAAAAGTAAATGGGATGATAAAGCTCAACTAGGAATTTTAGTGGGTTATAATGAAAATAGTTACAGAGTTTTGTTAAATAACAGAATAATTAATGCAAGGCATGTACAGGTAATTGAAGAAAATACTCAGTTAATTTGTTTGGAAAAAGTAGACAATCAAAATAATAAAGATTTGGAAAGTGATAGTACTTTAGATGTTTCAAATGAAGAGGTTAAAAATGAATATGAAAGCGATGAAAACTTTGTAGATGTAGATGAGACTTATTCTAGTAGTAACGTAAATAATAATAGAGAAAATGACGTTTTAGTAGAATCACAGAAAAGAAAGAGAATCCCAGTTTCTAGATATGGTAATCCAGTTACACACTTTATTTATGTTAACCATATTGATGCAAATGTACCAAATTCATTCGAGGAGGCGATGAACTCCAATGATAGTAAGCAATGGCAAATAGCCATGGATTCTGAAATAAATAGTTTAAATAAAAATAATACTTGGCAAATTGTAGAAAAACCAAAAGATAAAAAGGTAATTGATGTTAAATGGGTTTTTAAAAAGAAAAGTAATAATGAATATAAAGCTAGATTGGTTGTGAGAGGGTTTCAGCAAAAAGATTTTAATGAAAATGCTTACTCACCTGTTGGAAAAATGCAAACTTTGAAAATTTTATTGTCATACAGTTGTAAAAATAAATTATTTGTAGAGCAAATGGATGTTGAAACAGCCTTTTTAAATGGTTATGTAAAGTCAGAAGTTTATGTAAATCAACCAGAAGGTTATAAAACAGGAGATAATAAAGTTTACAAATTGCAAAAAGCTCTCTATGGTCTCAAAGAAAGTCCTAGAGTGTGGTATGATTGTTTTGATATATTTATAAAAACTTTGAATTTTGTTAGAAGTAATTATGATTACTGTTTGTATGTTAAAAAAGCAAGCAAAGATCCAATATACATATTAATATTTGTTGATGATTTTTTAATATGTTGTAAAGATAAAAATAAAATAAAAGAGGTGAAAACAAGTTTAATGAAAAGATTTGCAATGAAAGACTTGGGGAAAATTAAAAGCTATATTGGCATAGATATTGAGTATAATGATGATAAAAATGTGATGACATTAAGTCAAACAAAGTATATTGAATCTTTGGCTGCAAAGTATAATTTGGTAAATACTAAGTTATATGATACTCCTATGGAAACAAATTTAAAATTAGAGCAAGCTAGTGAGGTCGATGAAAGTATTAAGTACAGAAATATAATAGGTGAATTATTGTATATTAGTACAGGCACAAGACCAGATGTAGCGTACAGCGTTAATTATTTGAGTAGATATCAAAGTTGTTATAACCGAACACATTACAAATATGCAATGAGAGTGTTAAAATATTTGTATAAAACTAAGAATCTAAAGTTAACATATTATGATAATGCAGATGCTGATATTTTAGACTGTATGGTTGATTCAGACTATGCAGGGGATAATGTGGATAGGAAGTCTACAACAGGTTTTATTATAAGATTTTTTGGAAATTTAATATTTTGGAAAACACGTAAACAAAATACAGTAACTAAATGTTCAACTTTTGCAGAGTATATTGCATTGTCAGAGGCAGTAACTGAAGTACTTTTTATAAGAAATTTGTTAAG